ATAAAATCTAATAGCCGACAACATAGTTACAGTCATAAAATAAATGACAATCGCGAAATATAACATATCGAGGAATAATGTAAAATTTTGATGGAACTTGATCGACTATACGAGTTTGTTTGTATAAACGAATAAATTTTATAATGACAATTCTATTGACACAAACAATAATGTTTTTTTGCAAACGTTTAGTGCACAGATACATGGACATAAACTACGAAACGAATATTAGGAATAGAAACGTTGGCGGCGCGGTGTGAAAAGCGGTTTAACCTCCCTCTCTTCGCCCGGTATAAATACATAAAATCAGGCAATCATCCTAAATGGGCGCCTCGCTCGCTTGCTGGATCAGAAGCGTCTGCCTGTCGCCTTTTTCGCGCTGTCGTCTGTCGCCTGTCGTTTGTCGCGCGACAAGGGAGTACGTAGTTCCAACGCGAGTGTGCTATAGTAGTAGTGAAAACGAAAAAGCGTGGAACGACGTAGGAAAAGCGTTTGACAAGCACAATTTCCGTCTCGGGGCACGTCGCGCTCGCTACTTTTATTACTTTTGAGCTCGAACTTCTTCCATTCTTCCCTTTTGTTTCCGAGAAGACACATTAATGTTTACATTATATTATTTATTATATGCGCACTTTTATCACTAGGTTATTCCTATGTGTAGAAAAAATATTGAAATATTTTTTTAATTAATATCATTCTCACACACAATCATTCACTCACTTATTTATCTCTCATTTCTTATATCTTCTTTTCTCCAATTACTTTCCTTGTTATGTTGCTCATTATAGTCATCACTTTAGAATGTCGTTTGTAATATTGCTGTCAAGTATAAACCGGCTATAAACTAGCTTTTATATCCGTATACCCTAATTTAAGTATCGGACATCTATCCGGTACTCGTATTAGACCGAATAGGTTCTCAAAACTAAAAGTCATGCTCGAAAAAAAACTAATCGTAAGTGATGCCCGGCTAATACTTATCTGTCAGTTTTGATTTATTTCTATAGGAATTGATGTCGCATGATCTAATTTTGTTTTTCGTTTTCCTAAGATATTATTTACACTAATCACAATATACAAGTACCTAGGTAATCTTTACAATAACCAGGTACTTTGATATCCGTGAAACACTTAAAATACTCTGATACCCGGGCAGTAGATGTGTGCCCGGGTACTCAAATACTAATATTCCTAGTTCGTAGAACAAATTTGTTTTTAATGACTACTCGGCGTCGTCGATAATCCACGAAAGAATAGAGCCGACATTATGACGAGGTCATCGTTTGGCGCAGTCTATCCAAAAGAGATAAAAACGAGTGGTTTCGATTTTAACACGACTCTGGTCCTTCCCGTCGCCGCAGCAAAACCGCAAATGATCGGAAATAGAGAAACTACTTCACCAGATAGTTGCTGCGAAGGGAGTCGTTTTAAAGGTAGGGCAGGAAATGGTGTTTCGACGCGCTATGTTTTAGGAAACTCGCACGAATCATTTAATGGGCAGCCATACAAAAATTTACCGATCTCTTTCTCGCATTCGATTAAAAAATATTACCCAAATAGCTGTTGTTTCCCCAAATAGAATAGAAAAGTATTTTCTCGTTGCGAAAGATCTTTCTTTTTGTCTTTCCCTGAATAACGCTTGTGTGTTCGGATATTTAGATGTATCCTTAATGGGAATTGACGTCGTTGATGAATCAAAGTCTAACTACCATTGTCGGAAATATCTCTGTGGATACCTTGACAAGCGCGTCGTACGTGTTCGCTCGATTTATATTTCATTCCAACTATCAATTTCCATAAGCACAACTCGTTGCCGTCGCGAAATTGAACTGCCATTCGGCGGCGAGCGATGCGATGGCGCGAGGAAAAAGCATAGCTAGCGCTTTACGCGCGTTTGTGAAGCGCAATCACAATAAATTTTCTACGCTTGGCGTAAATATGGTACAGCGCGCTACTCATGATTTTATAAACGTATTTCTCCGTGTATCTCACATGTACGTTTGTACGCTACTCCATGCACACGTGTACACGTATGTACATATACTGCAATGTATATGTGTCGTGCAGTCAAGTTTCAGGAATAGCGATCAAAAGGAACGACGTGTTACTAACACGGCTTCTATATTTGCTATGGACTCTTTTAAAAATTATGTTCCTTTACTTAAATAAGTTGAGAATTTTTATTTAAGTGTGTTACTCGACTGCAAAGAGAATGAGTCCCGTTATTATTAACGGATCTCAAGCAACTTTACTATATCGCTCGCCACGCATTCAAGATCAGATAAAGCTCCGATAAAATAGATAATAATTTTAGAAATAATTCTAATTACATTTTTGGAGCCTCATATAATATTTGCAGTATACAAGTATATCGTAAATATTTCTATAATAAAACGCATTATATTTGTTTGGAGCAGCACTTGAGGCGAAATGTAATTTCTCTATTTTGTGAAAATAATTTTAGTGTGAAGCCACTTTTGATTCAGTGGAATGCGATACAAAGAAAGGGAGGGACAATTGTTAAGCGTCGTGCTCGTTTCTCAATATTAGCTAGAGAGCCAGTCTAATATTGGATTACTTTTTAATTCAACGAGTTACCCCTCTTCGATGGCGATCGCCGACCAAAATACGTGAGAGATGGGGTGAAGCGGCATGCGTGCCGAACGTGCATGAGCATAGATTAATTTCGAGGGTGTACACCGACAACAGACAGAATTGAGGACATCGAGTAGAGAACATCAATAATTTGCATAATTTCGTTTTGTTGATTCAAGCGTGACTCATGAGATTATACGGTGATTACCGCGCATGATGCGCGCAAAATATTGCAAAAAAGTCGTTTCAAGCAGTTTTGCAATATCGTGATATACAGTCATTATGAATTAAAAAATACACGTAACTATTAACAACAAATTACATTCGTGCAAACAAATTAATGACATCAAGCACAATATTATTTTCAAAACTGAACATCCATAAGCAAGATTTTTCATTTCTCTGGGTTTTTCAGTATCCATGTAACAGTCATTGATTTGTTAGATGTGCGTGCTGTGCTTTAGTGACTTATAAGATTTCACAGACGTTTGCGTCGGATGTCTTGATACTTGGGGATCCTCTAATTGGTCACCGGCGTGGCACTTACGTTGAAAACTAGAAATACCGTAGGAAGATCGAAACAAGATTAAAGGGCGCCGATGACGCACCACTCGGTTGTGCGTCAATAGATACAAGCCCAATAGTATTTGTCGAAAATGATGGTTCATTCCCAGTTTTCTACTCCTAAACGGTGGAAATGTTTGAGATATATATATATATATATATATTGGAGATACCTAGACTTTCTTTCAATATATTATTCTTAAGGAGTTTGTACATGTAATAAGGATCAATGAAATTCTTTTTCCTAAATCAGTATCAGAAAATAATGAGCCATTAACAAATAATCACTAATCTATGTCAATTTGTAAAAAAAAGAAAAAAATATAAAATAAAATACAATTCTATATTTTACATAATTATAAGTAGTTACGTATATATATAATTTTTTTTTAATAACATTTTGTTCTTTACATTTACAAAATTGTCGTCTCTGTAATATGTTTCTAAATATTAATCACACTCGTGCGTGCCAAAAGATTAAGTCATTTGACAACCTCTCTTAATCATTTACTAATACCTCTATCGCCTACGATGCAGATTGTGTATTGTAATCTTGAATACGCAATCATGATCCACGGAAACGTTATGCGCGAAGTATTCAGGATCTTCGTTCCTGGCAACGATGTTAGTGTTGGTGATGGGTATTTGTCTCCAAATAATTGGGCGGGACGGCGCGCCGCATCTCCACTGCAATTATAGGCAGTAAACGTGGCCACATCCGGTATATAGGGAGCTCCTAGGTGAAGCGACGGGATAATTCCACGAGAAAAGACACACCGATTAAGGGATCGCAGAGAAAAAGGAATCGTGCGTCTTTGACGGACGTTGTTAGGGAGAAAAAGCAAAAGAGGAAGAGCGAGAGAGAGAGAGAGCGAGAGAGAGAGAGAGAGAGAGAGAGAGAGAGAGAGAGAGAGAGAGA